GAAACCGTTTGCTACAAAATTCCCTGGTTATTTTAGGATTTTCTTTTCTATTAGATGGGAAAAGACAATCCTCCTGTGGAATAAACCTGTGTTTCCTGTGATCTCGAATACTAAGACAAAAGGATTGTAGGATTAGGTGCCTGGCCTGCTATTGATGCGGAAGGCAAGGAGCTGTCTGGTCGGAGTGCTGCCGGGCGAGTCGGGCAGGAGTTGGGAAAACCCATTTGGCTTTAACTCTGGACCGAAACTTGTACCAAAGCGCTTGCAGTTGCTGTGTCAATGCAGGTGAAACACCAATAAATAAGAAACTAAGCCAAGGGCTAATACCATCATTTTACTCGTAAGATTAGGTCTCCGCATTCACCGCTTACTCATGTGTGCAGGAACAACGGGACCGAGATCCCCATTTGTCTCCCTGACCTTTAGAAGTGAAGGCTGTAAATGAAGCAGCGCGGGGCAGCGGTCTCCTTCCATCTTCAGAAACTGCGAGGCCCAAGTCCTCACGTTGTTTCAGCCTACAGGAGGCTGGTGGGGAGAAGACCACCTCGGGGGAACACCACCTCTGACTACCTGGAAGTCCTACCTCACCCTCTTGACTGAGGACCTCAAAACAGGCCCCGACCTGAAGGTCCTAGGAGATGCGGTAAGGACATTTCCATCCTTGCCCGAGAGCAGCCGTGCACCTTCGCCAAGAATGTGAAGAACTATCAGAAGATAACGCAGCGTTGCTACATGTTACCCTTCCATTGAGGTTCTCACAGTGTTTCCACCACAAAATGTTATTCCACCGAGACGAAGCCTTGCTTACCAGATAAAACATTATTTGCAAGGGTTCGTAACTCGGAGGGAAAACCTTCCACCAAGACGAAGCCTTGCCTACCAGACTGAGCTGGGTACGGTTGAAGTATCGCCGCCCAGCAAGCCAAGGAGCTGGGTGAGATCTCCTTCGGTCGTGGGCCTGACCAGGGTGGGCGCTGAGGACAGCAGGAGTCTTCCTCTCACAACCACACAGCTCTGGGCGTTATCGAGCCCGTTCACCACAAGCCCCAGCACAACGTTACAGCAGCTCCTGTTTATTGGTTTGGAGAGTGACTCACCACAAAACCTGAGCCGATTCGCTTTAATTGCACCATGCCTCAGTTTCCCCATCGGTAAAGACCAGAAAAATTTCTCATTTAGGTGTGACGACATTAACGAACACCTGTGATACACTCCAGTAAGAGCAAGGCAGTCCCAATACTCGGCTCCACCAAGCACGACTACCGCACCTACGCGTGTTGTCTTGAGAAGAACCACTTCCACTCAGCCACATCAAACCCCTGGAGCCAAGCTGGGCTTTGGCTGAGCAGAAACGAGGAGGAACCAACACACAATGCAGGTGATCACTGCCAAATGACAACTCTGCAGTGCTAGGAAAACAGCCAAACACTTACCGCTGGACCTCCCTCGGGTTTTTTTGGTTGCTCAACGGCGTAATTTTAAAGAGAGGCACCGCACGCCGCCTCTCACGCTGAACAAGGCCAGTTCGGCATCTCGATGGCATCAGAAGGCACGAAGGCACGTGGGCGGTGAGGGACCAGCCCTCGTCTTTCACCTGCTGCGGATGGAGGAAAGAGGCTGCCGTGTGACAGCGTGCCGGGACGGGCACAGGAGCCACCCTGCCTGGCGAGAGGGAAGCTGAAACCACAGCTGCCCGCAGAGAGAGGTCTTACCAGGGGTCACATCGTGACGCTTTACCGAGGGCCCTCTTCTTGCTTCTTCCCAGAGCAGAGTTGAAAATCTTGGAATTGTCATAACGTTTTATTATCACTTGCAAAACAGATTCTACTTCATCAGATAAAGACACAATTGCATTCATTGACTCTGACACAAGGATATGCATAGTGATAAACATACAGATAGATGTACACACTTATACATGAATGAGATATGCTAATTAAAAATTGCAGTGGGCACTTTATTAAAAATTTATTGTACAATCTACATCTTCAAAACATTTTACATCAACAAATATAGCAGCTTGACTGCTGGAATCATAAGTGATTTATCTTTAAAAGACTGTATTTGTAACTGGATGCGAAGATTCTTGATGAACTGCCGTTACATTCAAACTACTGGTTTTTATTGGAAGTATTTTGACTGTTATCTGTTTGTTCTCCATCCTTGAGAGAAATAAAACAAGTGTCTCGGCTTTCATTTTATCGGATAGATGGCACCATGTAGCATATTTCCCATGCTAGTTTGAATTACAGCTGTTTATCTTTCAGCTTTCTTTAAGATTAATTAAATGCAAATGTAACTCCACGAATCATGGGATTACCTGCCAGACCCCTTATTAATACCTTCACTTAAAAACCCCCGTGCCAGAGAGTCATTAATTTGCAAAAAAAAAATAAAAAAAAATAAAATAAATAAAAAAAGTGCTAAAGCAGCCCTTTGCCTCCAAACAACCCGGAGATGGCTGCCCAATTAGTCCGGCAGCGTTCGGATCCTCCTTTCAGGCCCTGTGGCCCTTTGAGGACACAATAAGGCTCCAATGATAACCTGGCAACCTAGGTAGAAACTCAGCCAAGTGTGAGCGTTTGAAGCTGCAGCTTGGCTGCCATCGTGTCGGCGAAAAGAAAGAATTCAGGCACCATGTCATCCAGTACAAAGGATAAAAACAGATTCAACCGGAAATTCAATGTGGCACCACATATGGGATACATGAGTGCGGTTACACAACAGGCCACATATTTTTTTTGAACAGTCTCCTGCATGTGATGCCGAGGACATGTGTAACCATCATAACGTCTCTAAGAATCTGTATTTAATTTGAGCTGGGGTGGTGGCAGGGATTGGAGATCTGAAGCCGCCACAGGTTTGTGGCAGATGGCTCTGTGTCAGCTATGACAAGCAGCCAGGCTCGGCTTCCTCTGCAGATTTTCTTTTCTCTCTGATCAGGTAAATATGGGCACACTCTGGAAACTTCCACAATTCTGCCTGAGGCTGCAAGTTTGTGACTTAGCCCCATCTGTCACAAATCTTCCCTCGGTTCTGCTGCGAGCAGAGACCTGAATTTACCGCCGAGCGCTGCCCAAGAAAACCCAGCCGTCTCGCCCTACGAGGAAGCAGAAGAGAAAAGCGCACGAAGCCGCGTTAGATGCTGGGACACAAAAGGGGCGTCTCTCGGGCGGGAAGGAGCGCGGCTCTGTGCCGAAACACCCGGGATTTCGGCGGGGGTGGAAGCGATTCGGTCAGGGAACGCTTCCGCGGCGTTATTTGGAAATGGGGTGAATTCCGCGGGGTTTTTTTTAAAGACAGGTAAGCCGGTCGGCAGCCCCAGGTTATTTGCTCCTGGATGAGCACCATCAAACGTCCACCTGCTTTGCTGGTGGTCTCGGTGGACACGCCAAGGACCGGACACCCGCGGGGACCCACCTGCTCCTCTCACCCTCAGACGTGGCAGAACAACGAACCAGCAGGAGCGAGGGCTTCATTCTCCTGCTCGACCATCACCTGGCTTCTGGGCTTTATTTTAGAGTAACTTTGGAAAGAATAAATCTAACTCCTCCTTTTGGGAGTGACAACTCTGCAAAGGCCTGGGCATTTCAAGGAATAGCGATTCAGTCAAGAATTCCTAAATATGCAGAGATCAAGAGAAGCAAAGTTTCCACATAAAGCAAGATCTCCCCATGAAGAACCAGGCAGCATAATAAGACGTCAGTAGAAGTACAATATCGACTTATTTGTTCCTTGTTTCCTAAGAGGAGAACTGAAGTGATTAATACCTACTCTGCCATCATTAGACTTCAGAGTTAACCTTTAGAATTTATTAAGGACTGTTCATCCATTCACATCTGCTGTTTCAGGACAGTTGGAGTTCAAGCAGACAGCACTGACTTGGCGTACGTTTTATGCACTTTTAAAAAAGAATTGCCTTAAGAAAATGAAGAATTCGAGACTATTATTCAGCACAAAACCTGAGATTTGGCAGGCAAGACAGCAGAGTGATTTACAGAGCCAATTTGTATCGGGTCAGCTTTATGCTGTGACCCAGCTCCTTCCCTCTGTAAGTGAGTGTTGGGGAAGAACCAAGGTGGAAAGCAGCTTGCGGTAATTACTTCTGGAGCTCAACTTTCCAACTCCAAGCACCTTTGGAAACCACCGAACGACAGCATTGGTTTACATGAGTTGGGTGCGCTGTGAGGCCCGAGTCAGAGCTATATAATACTCCTTAGAAGAGTAACAGTATTTCCCCGAACACACTGGTCTGTTCTGCAGTTTCTTATATTGGCCTTTTAAAACTAATTTCATTCTTTCTGTCTTTAAACAAAACCCATCCAATGTTGGCTGTGAGTCTACGCACGGTATCGCTGGTGGGTACCTTGCATAGGATGGTTCAGAACACACTGTCCAACCACAACAGTAGGAAACAGTTTCGGGCTTTCTTTCCCCCCGTAATCTGAACAAACCTTCCTGAAAAAAATAAGTTTTCATGCGTTTTGCAAAACTTTTCTTTCAAAGTCAATCTTATTTCCTTTGACCCATTCCTCCACCTACCGTTTCGCAGCGGCTGTGGTTCACCTGCCAGTGTTCATTTACTTTCTAAACCGAAATCGAAAGCTATCTAATATTGTCATAATGAAAAGTTCAAAGTCCTGGTGTTTATGCTGAAAGACACACACAAACCTGCCTTCTTAATGAACGCTTTCTTCCTGCTCTACCAGTGCAGTCTACTGCTACGAGCTATAGACCAATGCTTTCAGAGAGCTGACATCTCCTAGATACATACCTCGGAGAGCCAAGAGCAAGGCAAGCCTGGGAGAAGTTCAGGTGCAGGCCACATACATACATATATATATATATATTTTTTATGTCTATGTATGTATGGCTGGATCCAGAATGACCTAGCAGGCAACTTCAACAGCCTACCTGCTAGCCCATTTCTTCCACAGTGAGGAATCCACATTAGCTAGCAGACCTCACTCTACCACAGCTGCTTCCAGACCCGCATGCTGCTTGAAGACCTACGGCTGACCCAAAACACTTAAATCGTGCCCCAAAGTCCAGCAGAACCTCCTACTTGTGCAAAACCTCCTAAGCCAGCTGGATTTCACCTGCACCAGCCATACAGGTGGGAATGAATAACGGCAAGACTTCAGTCTAACCTTGACGCGACCCTGAGCAACTTAATCCAACTTTGAAGTTAGATCCTACCTGGAAGCTGGCCCTGCTTTGAGCAGAGGCTGACCAGAGACCTTCCTTAATTGCTCTATGATTCTCTGTTCTAAACAAGTAACCCAAGTTTTCTTTCACATAAGAAATCCTTAGGCTACATACTTTTTACTTAGGATCCCATGCCAAAGCACTGACACAGAGATGGGAGAGCATGGACACAGCATGCTGCACTCCAGAGCTCCCAGGCTGCTATAACCTTCCCATACAGGCTCTGAGAAGCAGCTCTAGACCACCTCTGAAATCATTTTACGTTACGCTCACTGCAAACCGAGCATCTCAAGAGGCAAATACAAGTTTCCCACTTGTGCTTCCAACCTCCTTCTGCCAGACAAAAGCACAAATTCCATACAATGCCTTCTCTTTTTCTCTGCAAACATGCTCTGCCGACGAACAGAAAGCCAGCAGGATGGATGGAAAAATTTGTACTATTTGCATAGCCTATAAAGCTCTAAATTAACTTTATCAGCTCAGGACAAAAGATCTGGAGAACACTGTAAGCAAACATCTGCTCACTATACATTCACCATTAAAAAGTAAACAGTAGGTTTGGCTCCATAAGGAACAGGCTGAAAATTATCAGAGTACAACACATCACACAAACTGACGGCATGGCCTAGAATACTCTGTAAAGCAACAATCACACCAGCACAAAACCAGCTCTCAGGCACCCAAAGGGCTTGAGCGATGAGAGGTTAGAACATAAACATGGAATACCATTCACAAGGAGAGACTGAGAAGACAGGGATATCCCAAGTGTTTGACAAATGTTTACAAAATAATCAATGGTATAAAAAAGATGGATGGGGAGCTTCTGCCTCTAGGCGACCAACTCCAGAACAAGACGACATTCAACGCAACTGAAGGCGGGGAAACCCTGAGCCAACTGAAGGAAACGCTTTTAACACCGTCTTAACCGCTCTGCTATGGGAAGACGTGAAATACAAGAACAGGAGCTTCCAAGGGCCTGAACATCAAGTGGAAACCTAGCATGGACAGCCTGGCGATACTAACAGGTTATGAAAGATGATGAAATCTCCAAGTCCAGGGTTAGGACCAACTTCTAAGTCTAAAAGACAAAGTGAAGACCTTTACTACCCTGCTTCTACTTTTGTCAGCCTTCTCCCAAACTTCTGATGCTCACCACTATCAAGACCATGGAATTAAAGGCACGGCGTGCTGATCCAGAGCGGCAGTTAGCACCCTTACGGAAAAATGGATTTCTCATGGAGTTTTGCTGGGGAGAGGGTGAGGATAAGGGCAGAGTTTGCTGGGGAGGGTGAGGATAAGGGCAGAGGCATCGTCCCTGGCTCTTACTTGGCCTGTACAAGAACTATGAAGGACTACTGCTCCGTGCAACAGGGCTGAGTGCCTGACGGGACATCTGGCATGAGGCTCCCCAGCATCCCCACCTGTCCAGTGCCCTGTATCCCTAGGCTGAGAATGCCTCCTGCTGCTCTCCTAGCTACGCCTAAATATTAAAGCTGGACCAGGAGCAGTTTTCCCTTCTACATTGTTTCCTGAAATACCAAAGATACTGCTTTATCTCAAATCAGAGCAAAAAGAGAAGGAAAAAAAAAAAAAAAAAGAAAAGAAAAAAAAAAAAGAAAGTTTTGTTAGAACTGCCCTACACAGCCAAATCCTGAGACTGGAAACAATTCAGATGTCTACGGTCTAACCGGGGATCTTAATTTGATTTTACAGCAGTTTAATCCCTTTGAATTCAGCAGACTTCCTTCTGCAGTGGTGTAAGAAAGAAAAAAAATCACGCCATGTGTCTTTTCATAGGCAGGTGAGCTTCTGTAGTGTGATGGAAATGAGAAGATGAATGTCAGAAAGTGGGCCAAATTCTTTTCTCCGTTAAACAAGCATGAGCGAGAGTAGGATTTTTCTGTAGGAACTGAAGCTGACAGCATGTCAACCAGCACTCATTCAGCTGGGAGGGCTGGGAGAGATTATTTAAAGTTGTCAGCTCCTTCCATGCCTGGCTTTTGGCAACTCTTCTTGTCCCTTTCCACTGTATACTCTTTATACATGCTGTTTTAAATTAAGAAACTGAAGTGAGGGAACTGAAAGGTAAACTTAAAGAAAATAATGCAGAAACAAATGCTTTGCCCTATTTTATTATTTTTTTTTTTAATTTTGAATCTACTAGATATGGAGCTTGCAAACACTGACAGGTCTTACGGTGTACTTCAACGGAAACCGATGCCCTGTTGTTGTTTTTTTGCTTCGTTCTGGCGCTTACATCGGCCACAAATACTCAGAACTAAAAAGCAACGTTTGACTCCGTAAAACTGGAACAGAACAAATAATTGATAACAAACGAGGGTTGCTTTCCACTCATCTCAATCTTCTGCTAACAACTGGTAGAAATGCAAATGAGCCAGCCCTGGGTGCTGTGAGAATACACCGGGTAGGTAATACATCATTTGGTTTTCATAGGTGCTTACGTGATGGACGCTTTAAAACGAATCTGCTCCGTCGAGCTGAGCTACTGCAGTTCGACGTCTTGGTCTGTGGATTTTCACAGGGAGATTCCCTGTGTCCGGCTCCCTAACCTGACTGCCCCGCTGCTGTTTCTCTCCCTTTTGCCCCTAGCTTTGTCAGCACAAGCACTGAGGACAACTGAAGCAACAAAGTGCCCGTTTAATTAGACTGCTGTCTAATTATTATGGATATCCTCAGTAATAAAACCCCAACAATACGCAAAAGCATAAGCGAAGGTACTTCTGACGATGATTACTTCCCGATCTATGAGGCAGAAGGCCCAACCAGTAGAGAAAAGCTCTATTTGCCTTTAAAGCCTTTTCACTTTCAAGACTTCACAGCTACTTTATGAACTTCAGGCAGGGAGCGTGTCAGGGAGGTTTCTGCAAGGGAAGCAGCTCGTTAGCACGCACTGCTGTGCTGGGGTCCCTCGTCTATTCCACTATAGTACATACAACATTATACTGATCTGAAAACAGTGAGAATACGGTGGAAGCGATATGTACCTTTCATGATTTCACTCTTTTCAGCTTCCTAAAAAGCAGCGTCGTTCCAACGATACCGACACGAACAGCACGTACCCAAGTTGGAGTTTTTCTAGGAGGTTTTGCCGATAGTTTCATGGCGAAAGGAAGACTTGGCATACGTGGGCGTGGGTACAAAAAGACAACTCTAACAGTATTCTCTGAGCTGATCCAAAGCCTATTAAAGACAACTGGGATCTTTCCTCTGGTGCTCGCAGGTTCTGGATTAGGCTCTGCTTCGCTCATTTTAAAACGATCCCCCGTTCAGCTCAACTGCTATACCTGTTGCAGACATTCGACTCAAACACTCGGAAGACGGGAACGGGGCTTCACTGTTAATCATGCACATGTATGAGGGGTAGGATAAACACCTTCAGCTTCTGCCTGCAAATCATCCCAAGGGATTTTTGGGATCCTTCCTTCAAGCAAAAAATCCTTCAAACAAAGTAGCATATGGCTTATGGGGCTCGTGCACGCATTTGAAACCCATCCTACTTCCTATCCGTACTTGCTCTCCCGTTATTTCCCTCTCTTCAGGAGCTGGGGATGCACACGCGGAGAGAAGAGCCACGTGAACACAACTATTAGCGGAGCTTGAAGCACTGGGAAATGTCAAGGTAGACGTTTAAGGACTGTTTTCCCTTTGAAGCCACCACGTACAACAAGACGATACTATTGACTCAAGAAGTAATGCCGAACACTGGAAGTGTTCAGTCAGCATTTTAAACTATTATGAGCTACCTTCTGAACCATTGCCAAGTTAATAGACAATGAAAGATAATGAGCTTGAAATTGGGTGTTAAATTGCATTTTTGGTTCTCTCCTTTTTTTCTTGAAGTTTAACTGTTTCCTGCAGAAACAACATCATCTTTGATGTATCATTATGTAAACGGCTATTTTTAGGTCACCAAAAAAAAGTCAGGCGTGGGCTAAACCCTCGCTCCTCCCGCTGCACGTGTGCGGGAAGGGGGAGAGAGGCAGCCGACACACAGCAAGACCCAACGTTTTCTGCTCCCCAGAGGGAGGAAGGTGGAGAGATGAGGTTAGGTCTGCTGGCAGCATGAGCCTCCAAATGAAGGAGGAGACTACTCGACTTGCTCATTAACAGTGTGCCTGGACGCTAAAAAGACCACATTTGTATTGCACGGGTAACACGAGGAGTATTTCACTGCCCTCTCAAGCCTTTAACGACTTTGGGCTGAATTCAGGTTTTTTTACAAAGTGAAACACCTTTGTCGTGCAGGGGTAATGTGGATCCAACCTGCCCACGGCATAGCCAGGGCTGTGAAAGGCAGAAAACGCTGTAAATTTACATATCAGCATGCAGAAAACAGCAGTTATTTTTTTTTTTCTAAAGGCAGCATTGTGTAATAATAGCTCTTCACTGGAATAATATAAAATTTAGTGCTTCATCTGCAATTGCGTAATTAAAAAGAAAAAAAAAACACCAAAAAGTGTGACTCCTAGCAGTATAAATGCACCTCTTAAAAATGTGAAAGTCGGTCTAGCATTGAACACTCGAGCAAAACTTGAATGGAAGGTCTGCCACTGAAACTGGACTTTCTCTACAGAAATAACTGCAAAGAACAGGACATGATAAATACCAGTCAATTATGCTTCTGATGAACTGCTTTTATGCTCGACATACCTTAAAAAGCAAAGAGCTAAAATAATGGTAATTATGAAAAGAATTCAAATCATTCCAAAAGGCAGAGAAATCTTACCTGATACCAGTCACCTGCATTTTTGGAGGACTGAAGATTAAATTAGGATAGGAAGGTAGGCTTATCCTCATTAGTATAATTGTAGGATCTTTCTTTTATTTTCCTTTTAAACTAATGAGTTGCATTAATCCAGGTTCATTTTTATAAGCCTCTTGGGTCCACACGTAAAGGACAGTCATTTTAGAAAACAATAAATTAAAAAAAAAGCATGTAGCATGCATTAAGTGCACGTATTTCATAAGACCTAGGTTAATACAACTGGCATCTAGTTTAATTAATCCTTGTTAGTGTAACGACTAATATCCCTCCCTAGCATGTTTCCTTTAAACATTAGTATGTTAATTAAATGTTGTTTTTTTAAGGCTTTTTTTTTCCTTTGTACTTCAATATGGCACTATATCATGCAAAACTATTCTGAACAACTACCTTATAGAGATGTTTCCTTACAATATCTGGTCTCTTGCAGAAATTCTGAAGCCTTTTAAAAAGCTGTTCAGGTGTAGAATACAGATATTCAGCTGCAGGAAAAACAGATACATTTTTAATGAAACAAAAACCTCAAAGCACACACTCGATATTAGTCACTTTACTAATTAAAAATGCATATTGCTCTGTGCCGCCTCGTGTTTTACATTATTTAAGCATGATTTTATAAGGTTACCTCAGCTCACAAGGATGTTTAATGCTAAATAAGACTGTGTAGTTGTGCTGTTTAGACATCTCCTTTGGGTGATTAAAATACATTATTCTAATGTAACACAATGCATATGTGATACATTTAGTGATGAGATTTTTCAAAGAACTGGTACTACATTAGTGTGGATCCTGTACTGCAGTTGCATACTATTAAGTATTAAATTGTTTATATAATTTGGTGTGGTTTTCAGGCCTTGGTTTTTTTGGTTGGTGGGTTTTTTTCCTTTTTTTTTTTTTCTTTTTTTTTTTCCTGTGTATCAAAAAAAATCTGCAAACCATTGCAGCATCACTGACCTTTTAACAAAAATCTATCATTGCGGGTTGTGTATGCTAACAATGAAGAATGCTATTTCAAAACTTGCTTTTGTGTTATCTTAAAAGAACAGATGGCAAATATAAACTTCGTCTAATGTATTAAAACACATAAAATTTTCCTTAACACTAACATGTTGGCTTGCCAAATAAACAATTGCTTTTGCTCAAGTTTATTCTCAAACTTTCTATTTTAGCACGAATCACGTTTCAGCAAAAAGAATACGCAACAAAGCAGCTACCTGGAAATATCTCTGGGTACACCAAGGCTTTGGGACACAGCGGGTAACAGCCGCAATATACAGCTTCGACCCTGAAGATGAGAAATAATAAACAGACAAAAATAGAGGTTAGTGAGCCAAAAACTTCATTTGGTGCAAGAACATGGAGGTTGACTACGTACAGCAAGAGTGAAACATTTTTTTCTTCAGCAGCATAATCCTTCTAAATGCCAAAGTTGCTCTTTTTAAAGAAAATTTTATTGATCATATGAATTACATAGAACAGAACAGCGAGCATATGTTTTGTTCGCTGAATAAATCAAAGCGCAGCTCTGCATTTTTTTGTTTTTTAAATACTGTTTAACACATTTTATAATCAGCAGACAGACACATGTAACAACATGCTGAAGTATGGACGGCTTTTCTTAATAATGCTGCAGAAAAACGAGGGCATCCGCGCGCACGTTTGGCTGGAGGCGCCCGTCCACGCAGCCCCGTTACCTGGCAGAGCAGATATTCTCCTCAAAAACCCCAAAGGTTACAGTGCAATAGAGCCCAGGAACGACTCGCAGCACGCTTTGGGCTGGGATATTTTAGCTTACACACACGCTCCAGGTAATTTCCTTTAGTTTTCGGGACATAAACTGTTGTACTTTTTAACAACCACTGAGGCGATTCCTTTGCCAAAGTGCGTGACGCTTTGTACTCGTGTTTTATTCGAGGAACAATTTCCGTATCTCCTGTAACATCAAACCCGAATATTTCATAGTTACAACGCGGTGGCGCAAAGTCGTCTAGTAGCAAACCTAAAGACAAGCTATCCTCTTCGTGTTTGCGTTTTCATAGCTGAACGGGGTAAGGGATCAAGTTTTTCCGTTTATTTTTTTTCGCATAATGACCACTGATCTGACAAAATGTCCCTCCAAAGATACAACTGTAATTTCTGCTGGCCAGAAATTGCACAGCGAAATTCCAAACACTTCTGAAAATATGTTTATTTTATGAGAGTCTTTGAATTTCCTCCAACATGTTGACCATACGAGGACTTTATTTATAACTTCAGTTTCCCTCAGTCCTCAAGAAAAAAAAAAGTCTGAAATCTTGTCGGCGTTCACCTTTTCTATTTTCAGTGACAACCCAAAAGGCTTTCGCTCCCTTCACGTGTGCTATCAGGTTTGGTGCTTTATTACAGGCACCCAGAAGGAACTCTGTGTCCTTCAGATCGACTCAGTTTTAAACAGGAAAAAAATAAAATCAAGAATAAGGTACGCAGCTTTCAGGCTAGAAAACTGTGCGTATCCACAAAGCCCAAAGACACACATTCCTCTGCGAATGCTTTTGCTCAGCAGTGATTGCTAGTTTTTTTCCATAAACTTTTAAAATTTGTAATTTATGGTTTTTTTTTTAAATAACATATGCACTTCAGATTGCATTTTAAACATTAACAACAATTTCAAAGTGTACATCGTCTAGCACTATATTTTTTACCAAAGGGAAATGTTTCTGATGTGTGATTTAATTGATGATTTCAGTTCTTAAATATTGTGTCATATGTCAAAGCAAATAGATTTTTAAAGTTTTCTTTAATCTAGGAGGAAAAAAAAAAAAAGAGTGAAACTGTGGACATTTCAGTAATAGCTCAGATCACTAAGTTATGTTAAAATATTTGCTTTTTAATCATATCGTCTGCATGGGAAAAAAAAAAAAAAAAAAAAAAAAAAGAACAGCTCCCTAAAACAAAACTGCAGGCCAAGATGCAATCTGAGTCATCATCTGAGCACGCAGTCTCCCCTTACGAAAAACCTCTATCGGGACCATGAATTAGTAAATTCGGGATTTAATGCCTCTGTAGTTTGCTGGATGAAAGTTAAAATTCGGAATTCTCTCCTTTGCCAATCATCCGATTTGCACACCGCTTCGCTCCCTTCCCGCTCTCCGACGGGTCCCGAGGACGGCGCGGCCCCGTCCCGCTGCCAACCCCGCGCCTCTCCGGCGCCCAGACCCAGCGATCACAGCAGGGCACCCACAGACACAGGCTTCGGTTCCCAAGGCGGCCCGGGAAGCTCTGCCACTGTCCTTTTCCTACCATAACAATACTACAATTATTCTTCATTTCAATCCTTAAGCACTACTAGTTAAATAATAAATAGAGTTCCGATTGATCTATTGTTAAAATGGCTAGTAAATGGCCTTTTTATTCCAATTAACAAATCATCTGCTAAATCTATGAATCTTAATATTCAGATCTATTCACTTCAATTCATACAATTTATCTGCAAATAGTTGTTGGGCTTTTGATTCTAAATATAATTAGCTGATAATTTTGCTTGGCTGAATTACTTTTCTGGAGGGCCTGCTAAGGCTCTCAGTCGCATTATCTAGCAATAATGAATCTGATAGGTGAAATTTTTTACTGTAATGAGGATGAGACACAGTTGTGACACCTGAGTCTAGTAATAACAGAAGACTGCTAATTATCGACAGCACTTTTTTGTGTGATGCACGGCGAAAAAAAAATCCCTCATTATTAAAAAATAAAAAGTTACAATTATAAGTGACACCGGAGGAGAGTAAATAAAATGGAGTGATTAAAACATTGCTGCTTTAAGGGTGTTTTTAATTAAGTGGAAATGCTAATGTTGTCATACTTAGCAGATGGGATTAAAATTAGTTATTGTAAGTAACTCATATTTTATGTTATGGTTTCCACAGCATGTCTACAAGATCTAAGAAAGTGATACATTCCATAAGACATTTAAAAAATGAAATTCTCATCGTCTTTACAGCTCATAATAATGAACATCATGAATAAACTATTGAAAAAAAATCCTGCCAAGGCTTTTACCATAGTGACTTAACGCGCATGGAATGTAACCATAATGTACTGGGCTGCTGGAATCGCACTGCTGGTCTGCCTTTGTCTTTTGCTGATTGTTGCACTTCTTATTTCCTTCACAC